TAGTATAATGAATACGGACAGTAGGATTGATATCGTTATCATTACATAATTTTTTTTACCATCCATAATAACTATCTAACGATAATATGATGGTACCGACAGTGTCGTTACGGCGTTATAAAACTGGAATACAAATAATTATTTAATGAACAAGGTCTTAATTAATTTTTTATTAAACAATATTTTTAAATTGTTGCATAAAACAGCAAACTATGTTTAAGAAATAACTCAACAAATTTAGTCAAATTCTAACTTAAAATTTAGTACATTGTTCGAATAAATTTTATGTAAGATATCATATTATTATTTGTATTTAATGATATTATATATCTTGCACATTTATTGGAATAATATACCTATTAATTTTTAATTTATACTTAAATTTGTTTTGACTTTTCTTAAGCACAGTTTACTATTTTACGTAACAATTTAAAAACATTGTTTAATAAAAAATTAATTAAATTTTTATTTATTAAATAATTATTTATTAATTAAATAATAAATTTTTATACATTGATTAAATTAATATTCAATCAAAGAATAGATTATAATTATTGACACACAATAGTGTCGTACGAAATAGCATTGTACAAAACTATTTTATTTTTTACTACTTTTTTTTAATTAGAATTAAAATTTTTCGAATCATTAAATATTTTAAATAAATACATTAAAATTAAAATTAAAATTAAACATTTCAAATAAATATACATTAAATTATAGGGTATTAATAATTTAGATTTTATGTTTTATCCGATTTAAAAGTGTCATGTTTTGGAAAATTATTACATATTAACTATTACATATTAACTATGGTGCGGTGGCGGCCCTAACATTAACTTTTTCTCTCTCTCTCTCTCATACTACTTTATTCTTCATAGAAAACTGCGCTCATCAAGCATAGTGTGAGTCACTTCGAAAGCTCATCGAGCTTTTCTCATACAGTCGATAAAGTAGGAAAGAAAGCATTGTTGTGACGTAGATTCATATCATGTGAAAGAAGCTTATTAGGCATCTACTTTATCAACAGATGCAAGTTCATATAATGGGATTGTGTGTTTACTCCATTTACGCATAAAATATAATCTACATCTACGTATATATAATATAAAATATCTAAACTATGTTTTACATGTCATGTATGTAAACAACCTATGGCTTATCGAAGCCTATGTTCTTTATTGTTATACTAGACTGCACTAAATACTCAAGTTAGATGTATTGACAGTTATAAAACTTATTACTTCTTCTATGCTTTATGCTATAATTTATAATATATTCGTATAAATTTAACTCAAACAATATACAATATCCATACAGCACATTTTATCTGAGAGACATGGGAAAGTCCTTATAAAACGTTCAAAAGATGTAGAAACGAGGGGGTAACCACTAGGTGAAATATTGTCCCACAGATTACATGATTTCATATGATTTTATCTGATTACAAATAATTTTTTCCACTACATATGAAGTAATTTGGTAAAATATACGATTTTATTTAATATTATACAATGGTTTCTCGTGGTTTTGGTAATTGGTGGATATGTAATTATCGGATTATGCATAGAGATTTCATATAAATTTTATAATGATTTCGAGGACTCTGTCCCACGATTACATTAAGTGGTTACCCCCTCGTGTAGAAATGTCCTTAGACGTTTAGAAGATATAGAGATATTCAAACGCCTTTAAGACATCCCTTTAAGATCTATGCTGTATGGGTAAAAATTTCATGTATAAACGTATTGAAATATACAGCAATTTTAACCTAATAATACTTGATAAATATTATAAGCATCAAAAGGCGATAGAGCATTGTTATAACAGTTTATATACTTTTAATCAATGATAAACAAGTCATAACATAAAAGCAATAATTGTTGCAATCGTAGCAATTTTTGTCCAATAATTTGAACAATAACAAAATTAAATATCTACTTTTATTCTTAAAAGCTTGCTACTTTACTAGAAGGCATAATGTAAATAATCAAATTCCAATATACAATATATCACTTTTAAATAAAATACATTTACCAATAAATACATAAATTTAAAACAATTTATATTTGTTTTTGAAAACAATTAATTTATAATAAAAACGTTAAAAACACCACAAATTTAATCAATAAAGTAAAAAAGATGGTTCTCTTTTATCTAATGTAAATTTTGTCTTTTAAAAAATTGCGACATTAATAATATACAGATAATTTAATAAAAATAGAATTTCTTTTCGGAAACGTTTTCTTTTTTTGTAATATCCTTATGTATCTTACACAATATTAGATATGTGGCTTTATGTGAAGCAAATTATAAGAAGATGATGCGCTCAATTTATACGGTTTATCATCCGCGGCATAATCGACAAGGCACCTAATCGAGGTAACTTCGCGTAAATAATGTTATTAAACAAAGCTTCAGATTTAGAAATGGTGTAGGGGAAATCGCATTACTCGACAGAATAAACACGGTGCACGAGGGAAGGGAAATCAATGAACCAGTTGATCACATCGATAATGTTTGTTACGAAACATTTCCCCTCTGTATTAAACTAAACAAAAGTTCCAAATACTAGTATGAATTACCTTCAGTAAATGATATACATCGCTAAATAGATAGCATTTAATTTTAACTTCCTTTAATCCATATACTTAAATGCGAAATTAAATTATGTGCAATGTGATAATTAAATTTGCATTATTGAGATATATGGCTTTATGTGAAATTATATAAGAAGGTGACGCGCTCAATTTATATTATTCATCCGCGGTATAATTGACAAGTATCTAAAATCAAAAATAACGGTCATTTAAAAACAAAAACAAAATCAGAATACAAGACGTCTTTAAAAGATGTCTGATTTTATATTTTGTATTATCTTAATATCGACCTATTGCAAAAATGTTTTTATGAATTGTAAACTATTTTATTTAATTATCCTTTTATCTATTTAAACGTCATATTATTTTTAAATTGCAATTCAATATATAGAACATATTTTAAATGCACTTTTTATATTTATATTAGACTAATCTCAATTCCATAAAGAGATGACAAGGATACGAATGTATTCGAGCGTGAGAACACTTTGAGAAAATTGAATTTGATCCTTATAGTTTTGAAAACGTGCAGAGAAACTGATTGATAATTCATGATAATAATCACGTCAGGCAGGCAGAATAAAGATATGACAACGCAAAAGAAATGAACTCCGACATTTCCGTTACAAGAACAGTGTCTTATTAGATGATGTTCGTACGCAAATTTGCTTCAGAATTTTGTTTCTACTTTTAATATAATACAATCTTTATTCTGCACTAAATAGGAATCCTGTTAGAAGAAATTAAATATACATATGTGTACACATATCCTATGTAGAATGGTATCGTCTATTTAATGTCATTTATTAGTCATTCTTATGACTAATCTGATGAATCTAACATTTAAAATAACGTCTAAACATCGTAAAAATAACGTGAATTTATCACAGCCACATACCGTCAATTATGACGTCGAAAATATGTCACTATTTTTAATTTTGTTATTGTAAATGTTTACAACATAAATGTAGTGACGTTATTAATTGATTATTAGTCGAAGTCATCTATCCGATGTTAATAAATATAACGTTGTAAATAAGTCGTAGGATAAATAATTGATGTCATTAATTAGTAAAAAAACGTCATTATTACATCTTAAATAGCTAACTGATGTCAGAATATATGACGACAGCTTCCTACCTGAGTATATGTACATACATATGTATATAGCAAGCATTACAGTTTACATTTCTACATGTAACTTTTTATAGAAAAAAAAAACAATTAGAGCAAATTTAATTACTCGTTAAAACCGATATGTTACGGGGTACTAGTATTTATATTTATACATTTTCTCAGAGTCACTTTGAGATCCTTTTTATAACATCATAAACATACGTTGATATCTCCTTTCTGTTAGTGTCAACAAATCTTTTAAATAAGTTTTTCTTGTAACTCTATATATATCGAGCTTCTATCTTATTATTCTATCTCTGCCATTAATATTGAATAAAAACATTTTTTATTTGTTCCGTTTAGATTATCCCTTTTCGCCCAAAATAATTTCCAAACAAATTTGAATAGTACAAATAAATATACGAGTTATATTATATAATATATATTACAAGTTGTTTAACTATTTACAAAATTAATGTAGTAATTCCTCCGATATTTTTCGAATTTTTAACAGTAAAAGCAAAACGTGCAAAAACATTGCTAAAAATAATATTTATCACAAAGTAAACTTTTCTGCGTCAGAGAAGATTATTCTCAATTGCTAATCTGCGCAATTCTATACATAGAACTGTACAAAAGTGCTTCATGAATAAATATGGAAAATTTATTCCTATTACACTCATATTTTCCATTAACTACAATTGCATTCTTATAGTCTTTACACAAAAAAATTAAGAAGTAATTTTAAATAAATTTATAGAAATTTAAAAAATTTTCTTGAACATAACTGAGACCTATTCATTTCTTACAATTAGTATAATAATCTTAAAGAATAAATAACAAGTGCTATGTATTTTTTTCTCTCTATATATTAATGTATCTTTAAATTAAACCGAAATCTATAAAAGTAAAACTCATGATGAAATTATTAAATAAATTAAGACTTATACTAAAAATTATGAATTAATTGCACATATTGAAAATCGACCTTTGACTTCTCTTTTATATAAAAGGTATCCAACTAAATAGTTAAATTCTTATTATGAACAGTGCATATTATGTGTTATTTACTTCATTGATTCAATTTTTCTTTGTATGATTTTTAGATAAAAAGACAAGAGATTTTACTTTACAGGTTAGGTCATTTTCTACAAATACACTTGTAGTTATCTGATGAAATATTTGTTTACGATATGATAACCTTATTGAGAACATCCTATGTAACACGAATACACATTAACTTATGTTAGTGATGCATTTGTGACTCCTGCTGCTTATGCTATATCGCAGTTCATTGATCTGGAGAATCCAATACGATTGGATTATAGTTCGCTTTATGCTCTAGTTAATATCGCTAATGATTGAATCGATTACTTACGTGTAACGAATAAAAATGGGAAAAATATAGCTCCACACTTACCTGAAACAAGAAAATTAAGATATCGTGAATGGGCTGTTTAAAGTATCTAATAAAAAAATAGTAAGAATAACAACACATTTAAATAAAATAACTACGAATTTTTAATTTTCCTGACAAATTTTTTAGCTTGAATACATTAAAATAACAATAAGAATAAATAATAAAAGTAATCAGTTCAAATATTATTCACAATTTTTTAAATGTATTAGAATGCTATTTTTATATATATGATTACTTTATTTTTAATAACCTTACTTATTATAATAATCATATTTGTTATAATTGTATTTATCCAAAAACATTTTGAATAAAGAAATTCACAATCATATGTGTGTGTGTGTTGCAATGAAAATAATTTTTTTTAAATTAATACAGATTTTAAGAAAATTATATACAAAATAGATATTTTAATTTTTAAGTACATGTTTTAAATAAATATTATATACTATTTTGCAAAACCTTTTGCATCATTACATATAGATAGTACATTTATACACTTTTTAATATACAGATTTAACTCAATGTCAATTTTAACAACGTAATAATTGTGCAAATTAAATGCATAAATAATATCTCTTATTAAATTAATTAAAGCTTTATCTCTTGTTTAATTTCGTATGATTACTTCATGCAGATGTATTTTAGCTATTTAAACTACTAATTAGTAATCGAAATAAGCATAACGGTTAGACAAAATGATAATAACTTAAAATGAGGCAAAATGAAAGTAGGTACTGAATATGCAAGTATTCGAAAAGAAACCTCGTTTCAACCTAATATTGAAAGCACTCTAAATCTAAATTTTTTTATTAAAAGCACTCTAAAGGACTTGGATGCTGCTTGAAAATGCAGTTTAATGATCTTTCCGTGATTAAAAAGAAATGAAAAATTTTGCTATTCTTGCTCATTCTTGGAACAGTTTTAAAACATCAACATTGTTATCTTATTGTTGTCTTATTGTTAGAATTTTCACTAAAAACAAAATCAATAATCCATTATGAAAAATAAGAGGACAGACATCAGCACAAAATGAATCATTTTCTAATGTCTGATAAAATCCAATTTATGCGCGATATAAAATCACTTGAAATTACTTTTATTTCGCCATATCTACTAATAAAATCATATTACCCCTTAAAAAGTTACGAAATGCGTTAAGTAATGTAACAACAGTTAAAACAAAGATATATAATAGCCACACATCTGTGTATATGTAGAATAAAATACAATAAAGTTGCAAATTTCGTCACAATTTTACTTAAAGATATTGCTAGAAGATATTAATTTTGGCTTAATATTGCTATGAATTTGAATTTAATAGATAAAAGATGATATTAAACTTGTTTTCGAAGAATTTACGACGTCATGTACATAAGTTCGTTTATGACATTTCTGAATGCAAAACGCTATTCGACATTAAAATCTAAGAAACCTTATTCTGTTATATTATATTATGCTTTCTTCTACTCAAAATTATATAGTATTTTAAATTTATAAAAATTATTTCTTATGTCTATGCATTCGTTTTTAAGTTTATCGTTTATGTCATTACGTATCTTTTTATGTGATTATCATAATTTATATATTCATTCTTATAATAGAATAGCTATAATATGTATAACGCACAAAAATTATGAGAAATAAATCATCTATAAATGTTGCATTTGTTAACATTAACATAAATTTCTAAAAAAATTATGTAAATTTATCTAATTATATTAAATAAATAATATAAGTTTCTAAAAGAATTCTAAGAAATTGACTTCATATTTGCAAAAATTGACGTTATAAATTATAAATGTAACGTATACAAACAAAATACTAAAATCGCCATCATATATTTAACTTAAAAGAACTTGTAAAAACTTTCTGGAAAATATATAAATAAAAGCAATATATTTCAGGCATATGAAAGATCCTTTCATCTCTTCAAACTAAAGTAAACTCCTCTTTTTCATCTTAGTCCCTTTGGAAATCACTATTATTTCATTGTAATGTGATTTAATAGAAAATTGTATATTAAAAAACAACCTCTCATAACTTTAATACTGCTAACAAAATTTTATAGATATTATTATGTATAACAGAATATGTATCAGAATTTTTAAAATAAATATTGTTATATTACATTTAGTTTATTCATGTTATACAATTTTTTATATAAATTTTACATGAAATTATTCATCATCTGCCTACGAAATTTTGTTGTACTGCTATACGGGATCATGTTAAATTTATATACTGTGACACACAAAGCACACTTATGGTTTTATTGTCCGATATATTATAGCAATCACTATTGGTTTTCGATGAAATGACCATATACATATGACATTGTCGATAACGATGATCGATAATCGGAAGCTTTTTCTTTGTAGAGTCGTTTACTCTGCACTCAGTCGTTTACGATGCACTCACGAGACAAAGCATCTGAACGCTTGCTCAATAAAAAAAGTTGATAACGATATTATTAACCTCTCCCACAACACTTTTAACATTTTTATTTAAAACATGGTCAAACCTACTTGTCCATTTTATCTATATCATGACGGATATTAATAAGCTTACTTTTTTTTATTAAGGAGAAGAGATAAAAAATGTAAAATTTTTTTTTAAAAAGAGCCTAAATAATAATGCTCAATAATAATACCTAAAAAAATACAAAAAATTTTTATAATAAATTTATTATTTTTCATGCATCTTTATTTAGAATAGCTATAATAGCTGTAATAGCTATGACATATTAATGTATTTATTATCTTTTATACAGCTTGTAAATTATTATTAGTAGAATAAATTGGAGAATTTTGCAAAGTAATAGTGTAGTAGAAAATATAACAAAAATTCCTATGGTAACCTATACGTTAAACATAAAAATATGAATAAGAATAAAACGATGAAATTATTATCGAAATAAAAGCTCATTCATAATCATTTATTTCAATAGCATAAAACTTGATAATAAATATAAAAAATTCGTAAATATGATTCAAATTTTATTTCGTTCAAAATTATACTATATTTGAAGTTATATATTGTTTTATCTTATAAAAATACGGATAAATGTAAATTTCATAAAAGATAAGTATAAATAATTCTTGTTCTCATATTATTTCTAAATATTATGAAAATTTATTTTTATGTTTTTAGAGTTTATATAGCATAATTAATTTAATATTTTGTGTATTACTTTGTTAATTTTTTACGTAAACATAACTTTATATAACTTTATAATAAATATATAACTTTATAATAAATAATATAGGTCAAAAAATTTTATTTTATTGAATATATTCAACAAAGCTGACTTTTTTTTACGAAACAATAACTTAGTGAAAATTTAAAAATTCATAATTCTTTTCATGGCATGTAATCATGTAGCTATGTTGAAATAAAAGAGTTAATTCGCCATGCAAATTAAGTCCGTATTTAATAAAAGCCATTCGACTTCCGGACTCTAGGCAAAGATCATACTAATCTTGTATTAGGATTATCTAACGAAACGTAAGCCGATAGTTTATGAAGTAGAATAAAGTCAGAACGTCCGAATCGGAAATCGACGAACCTTTCGTCCAACCTGAAAGACGACCTGGACAAATCGCTCCAGGCGCTCATGCTCCGGCTCCGTCTCCTGCAGGATTGCTGTGGCGTCAGCAGTCTATTGCTGCTTCTTCGTCTAGTAGACGACAGATTCTCTGCTTGAAAATATACCCTAGGCGCTTTCTGCTGGGACACGCTCGGTGGCGTCGAGGTCGGCGTAACCGCCGTCGAAGTGTGGAGTTCCGGCAGGGCCTCGTAGTCCCATGCTCTTGCGCCCATATCGAGCAGGGGCACTGACGAGGCTGCGCTGGAACCACGGAGCGGGTCCCGAGGCTTGCGATAATGAAACAGGGCGAAGATCTTACAGCACTTCGACTCGTTCTCCTTTTCTTTCTTCTTTTCCTTCACTGCTGGCAGCTTCACTTTGAAATGATCGCAGGACGTGTGAGATTTACCGGCGACGTCCGGCCACATCGTTCCTTCGACCACATCGCCGTAAATCTTCTCCAATCATTCAACTGAATGGTTATAATTAATCGACGAAGCACAGTAAACAAATCCGAAGAAATACATAATTGATTGATAACAGAGAAGATGAATTAATGAATCTTGAATAAACATCTTGAGGAAATGATGATCAATTGGCTTATTAAAATTTGTCCACCTCTTCTATGGTTCTTCTACTGTTGTGGTTTTATTTCACGAAATTATAACGTAAATGCTTGCATAACTTTGTAACATTTCTATACTCATATCCTCCATTAATCTTGCATGTGCGGTTATTGTTCCTTTAATTATTAAAATCAAATTTGAAGAGAAGTGACTATCAACAGAGATACAAAATATATGCTCAAACGTTACACTAAATTAACAAAGCCCTTTTATTTTCAGTTTTTAAAGAGGTTTCAAAGAAGATTCGATTAGGATGCTACTTTATTAATCTGTAGCAGACAACAAAATCAAAAATGCAAGCGTGGAAAAAATACAAGCGTTTGCTTAAAGTTGCTTCACTATCTGTGAAAGTTGATTACGTTCTAGCCAAAAAGTGTTGTCTTCCTTATAGAAATAGCTAGAAACACTCGACAAAAGTAAGTTGATGAAAAAGAAGATAATCTTGTGAGAGCTATCTGTGCACGATGAAAAGAATTCTCGAACGATTTGAATAATTTCGATCTTATTTCCAATCCACCGAGTAAATTTGTATCAGAAATAATTTGTAAGTTCCTGCAGAGATGGATGACGATACTTGTAGATACAGTAACTTTGCGAGGTAGTTTCACATAACTAAAGTATTTCCTGTCTTGTTGAGAATATTATAAGCTATTACACAAACCGCCATAATTGATATTACTTCAGCTAACAGAAGCTCTTAATACCATTAACACACACAATCATGAAAATTTCGAAACTTCGTACCTCTGAACATTAATTTCTATGATGTTAATTTAATGATTTTTAATAAAGCATTCACATTAAACATTTACTTTTTAAAAGCTGCAGTTTCTCAAAATTCTAACTCCCAACAAGCTTTAACAAATCTCATATAACTAACATTTTGATATAATAAATATCATCGATATTTATATTTCTTTTGTTAACTATGTGGATAACAATTTGCGTTAACTACTTTTAATCATCGAAAATGCATCGAAAAGCTTAGTTTATATAATAATAATAACAAGCGCAGAGTAATTTAAAGTTTTGTCCTGTTCTTGCTCAACCGTTGTCAAACTTCGATTATCGTAAAGGAGAGTTTTATGAAACTCGCTTTTTATGTACTATGTTTGACATCAAGTGACACTCATGTTGAATGTCATCATCGCGAGATAACAATAACGATTGATCGCAAATAACAATGCAACAGCATGAAACATTAACGCATCTTGCGCAACTATGGAAGTATATTTGGCAATTCTATTGGAATCGTTTTTATTGATTCGCACTTTCTTGCTCGAGAAATAAAAATACACTTACGTTAAAGCATTTTGTGAGAGATTGAATTCACACTTTCTCTTTTTTGAGTGAAAGTTAAAAGAGTTTTCTAGTACTCCATTTGAGCGGGCACTTTTTTTATCAAAGTAGAGCAATGTTTATTTTAAACTTATATTACTTTACGTACTTTTTATGTATTACAATCTACTTATGTGAATTATTAACGATCATAGTTACACGCACAAGAGGTGAATCGCATAAAAAAATGTTAAAGTACCAAAACAAGATAATAAACTGCTTTTTTTAATAGACTGCTTTTTTACTATTATCTTTTTCACTAAGCAAAAAAATTAGTATTTTATATGATAAGAATCTTATTAGCGGATTCTTCGAGATGATAAAATAACGTCGACCAAATACACAACAACATTCTGATTGATTGCAGCTACTGTCGCCGCGACGGCGGCCGCAAAAACATTTCGAGTCACATATTGTTTGCACGGCACCGTTTCCGTTTGACCTGAATGACGTCACATGATGATCGAAGGTCACGGTCAACAGATACAACTATAACAACGAGAATACGCTCTTTTGCAAGGGACACAAGCTCAAATTTAACATCTCGATAAGGTTACCAGTTTCAGCTTACTAAACGTTTTACTTAACAAGCTCTTGAATGCTCGTATCTTTCAGTATACCTCAAGTATAGATTGTGTTTATTGTGTTAATTTAAATTGCATTTTAGATTTTATCGATTCCACAACCACTTCAGTCTCTCAAATACTTCAACAAATGGCAATTAAGTTTCATACATATTCATATTTTCCTCTTAAAACTCCAGTTCAATGTTCGGCAAAATAATAATAGCGTACAGGTGTTTTCTTGTCTATAAGCAATAAGATCTTTGGATCACGTAGAAACAAGATATGATTCTTTATGTCATGACATACATCTCCTTTTGAGTTTAAAGCCACTTTCTTGAGAATCTGCATTTCGTCAACTTTTTTTAAATCTTTCAATTTTTTTCATTTAAATTTTATTTTTAATACTATCTTCGTAGCATTCTTTACGTTTCGGAAATGTATTTTAAAATTTGCACGTATCAAATGTTCAGTCACTTAATAATCCTTCTTCATATATCAATTGTACTGCTATCATAAATATGAAAACGTTCGATTTTTCACGTGTCAAAGATATTCTCCAAAATTCAATACTAACAAAGGTATCGAAACTTCAAGCCCTCGTTTTGATATCAATAAGCTGTGGTACACTCGCCGCAGGTGGCTGCGTCTCACGAGGATACCATCCTACTGTCACTTCTAGAAGCAGTTAAGGTAGAATCGTTATCCACCTCGTCGTTCTCCGATTCGCTACACTCAGGAACAGGTGCCTGCATTGTTAAGAGTTTCATTTCAATGAGACCGAGAAGTGACAGCAAGTTGTGCGCTTTACGATTTAAGAACGAAGCTTTCGAAAAAGGTACAAGATATCATTGGCGTTCTGCATGCACTCACGATACTTCCTAGCCGACGTCGCTGATCACCAATCCAATTCACAATCGTCACCGAAGTGGAATCTAAAGGGTGCCGTATCGGAGGACAACGAAATGCCGCATCGTCCTTGACATTCGACGAGTGCGTTATGATAATTAGTATATACGACTTGATCACACCCTGAAGAAATCCTGAGCAGCTTCGAGAACAATCCCTCGTGAATCTCACAATTATTGCCGCTCCTTCACATTATGTCATAAACTAGCACAACGACGAGAATCGAACATCTTCGTGAACAATCGGTCTTCATAAGATATAGAATGGCGGAAAGCGAACAGCTGAACGAATCGTATTGTCTCAGCCGATGGTTTTATCGTGGCGTGAGAGAGGAAGACCAGCTTGCAGCTCACTATCCCGTACTGCGGTACACGCTAGCGGTTTTCTCTCGCACGCCACCCTCTTGCGTCCCGCCGTCCTTCCAACCCCTGTATTTCACCTTTTCTCTCTAGCTAGGCACCATCAAGTGCGCTGTCGCGCTCTCTTCCTCTCTCTCACTCTATCATCGCACAGGGTGTAATCGTCGTCTCTCTCACTCGCTCCTGTGGACGTTGTCCTCTTCCGTCTCTTCACCGTCCGTCGATGCCGTCCGTCGTGAAAGGGCGCACATACATGCACATGGCGCCGCCGTTGTCAAGGCGACTGCGCCACTTTGGAGTACATCGGAGATCTACTCTACCTCTCATCATCTCAGCTCAGCAGCCTGTCATGTCCAAGTTGCTTGTGAATCTCTAGTGTCTTATGAATAACAAATGACCGCGGAATATTGATATAAATGACAGTGACACATGCGATTTATTCACTCTTTATCCTTAACTGGTGCTCATTTCTGCAGGTTCCTTTAGTAGTAGTATCTTTTGAGAAAAATGATATACTACCGAGTCACAACCAAAGATTATAAGTTGCAAATTTTTTTGTTGATAAGAAAAAATATTTTCGTGAGTTTTTCTTTCAATGTACTTCTAAAATTGAAAAGAGCTATAATGTTAAGACTGTGAGTCTTTAAACTATTTAAAATTACTTATGTTAACGATTTTCAGAGAGAGAGAGTGAGACGGATTTATTATAATTATTTTATTTACTAAAATATATTACTGTTCTTTTCTAATAGTTCATTAATTAAATTATTTAATAACTAATTTTTTTTATAACTGGTTAATCTCTGTTAATGAGCATCCCTGTTTGATCAGCGAGATTAACACGTGCTGTATTAAGGGTATGCTTCTACTTTTGGGGCGGTGGGTTATTTTGGAGTAACGGAGCAGGATGAATGGACGGCTCGGATAGACAGCATCGATTTGTACCGGGAGTTAAGCCAAACTTGCGTGACGAGCTTGCGCTGTAACGTAAGCGGAAAGCTTGAAATCTAAGTGAACCACGTGGTTTACTATTATGCGTCGAGTTTACATTAATAAAGTTCAAAAGTATATGTGAAAAGCTAACATTTTTAATGGGGCCTTTTCCATTCCATTTTTATTCCTATGATCACTATTTTAATGCAACTTCATGCCATAATTTTTTGTACGAAAATTTAGAGATAAAGATTTGGCCCAATTCGACTAATGTAAGATTATCTTTATTCTCGGTTTAATTTACTCTTTATTTTTTCTAATTTAAAAAATTATTTTCTAATTTTTTTTAATTCTTTCTCTAATTTTAAGAATTATTTTAAGATCATTTTCATTTAAAAACTACTGTAGCTTCGACATTTTGGCATAAGATTTTTATCTTGAAATGATCTCATGAATCTGCTGATGGGTGTATCACTCTACTATTTATGTAATAAATTATTGTTACACGGTGTATGATAAATTAAACAATAAATTAAGTTTTCTTTTATTATGCATCTCTTGTGTTTTGCATTTCATTTTCTTCATTTAGAAATTCTTTGGTATATTTAAATTAAATTATAAATCCATTTCAGTAAAATTGACTTGCATGTAAAATAAAATAAAACAGACAAACTTTTATATCTATTACTCATCTCAAAAAAAATTTGATTAAAGTTTCTAATTTTTAATTGA